CAGTGGGGCGGACCTCCTCAGTAAGCAACAAGCGGACCCCGAGTTAAGGCCCATCATTGATCATTTAGAAGGCAGCACCGCGTCAGTTCTTCATCCACTTTCCCGTATGTTGCCGTCATTTTGCTTACGACATGGCATATTATACAAGAAAAACACCAGTGTCGGCAGCAGATCTTATCTTCTAGTCGTTCCTCAAGACCTTCGTGAAGACATTCTATTAGCCTGCCACAATGAGCTGACATCCGGCCATCTGGGATTCTCACGGACGCTCGACCGGGTACAACAGCTACAGTCGACTCCCGTTAATACTAAGTTCACGGGAACCGCAAAAAACTTCGAATTAAACGAACTTCGAATTAAGTAAAAAGCACTAAAAACGGCACTTTTATTAGTTAAAAAACGCGACAGTTTCGAGGAAAAATAGTCTGTCATCTTCTTCTGCTTGCCGAATCTGGCTGCGGCTAGCAAGTTTTGTAAGGAATACACGTGTCGAAGTGCTTCTTCGGCGTTGTGTTCTCCAACAAAAAACCGCTGCGCAAGAGCAAGACCCGCAGCTACATCGACAGCCCTCGGTGGTGGGTCATTTCCGATGTCGTCGTCATCATTGTCATTTTCAGGAATGCAGTCATGGGGCCGAACCATCTGCACGATTTCGCTGTCCGTTAGTGGACCGCATGTTTCGACGTTGCTGTCCACAGCGACATACTCGTCAAAACGGACGTCACCGAGAGCGACGCGAAAGCTACCGTCGTCGAGCTCATTTGTTTGCACTTCCACTGGCGCACAAGGAGAAGCATCCCCTGAGTTTTCCATGAAACCACAGGCCCGGAAACAATTGGCGATGGTTTCTTCTTTCACGCGGGTCCAAGCTCGCGCTAGCATGTTGATGGCACTAAGCAAACTCACCTCGTATTGCGACGAGTTGTCCATGCACAAAAGCATGCGCTCGACGAGATGCTGCCTATACAATACCTTCACATTTTTTATTATGCCCTGGTCCATGGGCTGCAACACGGACGTCGTGTTTGCAGGCAGGTACACAAGACGGATGGCACTCAAGGCAGGTAAGTTCATGTGGGCACTACATTGGTCCACAAGGAACTTACGGCTTGATTGCGCGAACTTGCGGTCGAGTTTGTTGATCCAGTCCTTAAATATATCGGATGTCATCCACGCCTTTCTGTTCGAGGCATAATCCACAGGAAGCGTCTTCACGCCTTTAGAGCACCTAGGCTTGGCAGCCTTCCCGATCACAAGCAGGCGACACCGTTCAAGCGATGACGCTTTTGCCGTGACGACTTCACCACTGAGAGGAAGTTTGTTGTTTCGTGCCTCTCTGATCCAAATCAGCAGTGCTTCCTCCAACTCGGGGTAGGCGCCGGTGCGCATCCGCTTCCGCCATGTCTTGAATTTTTCACTTTCAAACGCATCCATTATTGAGCGCTTATTCTTTATGAAAGTCGACAGCGTGTTAGGCTTAATGCCGTACTTTCTTGCAATGTCTTGTTTGGCGGTGCCTCCCTGGTCAACTTCCTTCAAGACTTCGACTTTCGTCGCTAGGTCTAGCGTTCGGTAAGGGCCCCGAGTTGCCATTATCAAACGTACGTCACCACCACAACACTCAAAATCAGAAGCGCGGAAACACGTGTGGAATCAACCTAGCGCGCGGGTGACACGGTGACACACTCGAGTCTCGACAAAAGTCAACTAAAGAGTCAGTCGATGCCGCCGATGCGATTCGCCAGCGTTAAAAAGATTGCCGCTTCAAGATCTGTGGCGCTGCGGACAGTAGTGATGGCGAAGACACCAGCGCGGTCCGGCAAATGTTTTGGCATATGAAAAGTTCCCCATTTTACTGTAAAATTACGGTCGCGACGAGACTGTCGATTGAAAAAACTTCTAATTAACCAATATTATGGGTTTTTAACTTCGAATTATCGAGCATTTTTTTCTATACGATTGCATGCGAAACTGATGGGACCACTTGCTCAGCTCATTTCTAATTAACCGAAACTTCCAATTGAGCAACTTCAAATTACCAGGAGTCAACTGTATATCTCTGGCCAAAACTCGCAGCTTGTGTCAAACGCTACGTGAAAAATGCCGCGAATGTCAGCGTCGCAAGTCACCACCTGTAAAGCCTGCAAGCCTCCTACAACCCATCGGCCCACCACATACGCCGTTTGACTAAGCTGGGATTGACCTCCTTGGACCGTTTCCTTTGTCTCACCCTGAAAACAAGAGGATCATCATCGCAACTGATACTTGACGCAATACGTTGAAACGAAGCCATTGCCACGCGGTTCAGCATCTGAAGTCGCACAGATTTTCATGCACCACATAGTGCTTCGTCACGGTGCCCCGTCATTCATCATCACTGACCGAGGGACAGTGTTTACGGTAAAACTGTTGGAAGACATCTTCAAGCTCACTCACACGAACCACCGTAGGACAACCGCATACTACCCCCACAGTAACGGCTTGACAGAAAGGCTAAACAAAATGCTGGCGGACATGATTTCTATGTATGTGGATGTGCAGCACAAAACGTAGGACGAGAGCCTGCCATATGTAACGTTTACGTACAACACTGCAACCGAGGAAACGACAAGGTTTGCACCCTTCCGCCTCATTTACGATCGAGACGTGCAATTCATGCTAGACGCCATGATTCCTTGCAACATCGAGCAGCACGAGCTGCTAATTCCTGATGTCAAGGATTACATTCAGTGTGCAGAGGAAGCACGTCAACTAGCTCGTGTGCACATAAGATCGCAGCAATGTGAAGACTCCCGAAGGTACAATATCCACCATCGACCAGTCACCTACCAACTTGGCGACTAAGTGTGGGTTTGTACTCCTGTTAGACGGTGAGGTCTCAGCGAGAAACTCCTGAGCAAGTACTTCGGACCCTACAAAGTATTACGGTGGTTGAACGAGGTCAACTATGAAGTTATTTTAGATGGAGGCTCAGCAACGACCCAGCGCCACTCACCACGAACAGAGATTGTGCATGTCGTCTGCTTAAAACCTTATTTTACGCGGTAATACTCGCCTTATTGTGCACGGGCAGCAAACATTTTCTTTTTTCACATTGTCCGTAGGGTCTCAAACGAACTTTGAACTGTGTTAATGTTTTTTTTTTCTTATGACCAATCACAAACATTTTTTTTTTGCACGGGGCATATACCCTGTGCAGTATAAGTATCGTTTCTCCCTTTCTTTTAATTCCCTTATGGGCCCTGCTGTCCCCTTGTGTATGAGCATCGAGTCGATGCTCTAATGGGAGGGGTAATAATGCCACCTAGAGTTGTGAGCCAGCAAGCCCTAGTGAGCCGTAAAGGGCAAAGAGAACGGAGAAGAAGTGTGTGTTAGCACTTCGTTAAAAGATACACGCTCGTGTTTTTCTGCCCCGCTGTTCCTGTCTTGTCTTTACGGTTCTTGGTGCATGACAATATACTACCTAAAAACATCAAGTCCGCCGGAACGAGAACCTTGTTTCATAGCGACAGTCTCATTGTGAGGCTTAATTATCTCTTGGCTTTTATTAGGATTAACTAGCCTGAAAACTAACTGGCTGCCATTCATACCCATCTGCAGTTGTCCTGTGCTTTCATCTACACATGGTACTTAACAGCTTTAAAAGCTCCATGTGAGTTATACTTGTGCCTCTTTCATCTGTGTCTAATTACTATGTTTATAGTACCGGTGTCACATGGGCACTTTTAAATCGTGATCAGAACGATCTGGATTGGTTTTCTTTGTGATCAACTTTATGACCACAGCTACGTGGCCCAAGCTTATTTTGTTTGAGCTTGGGTCAGGTGAAATGCACCAGGTGGCGCTTGCGTGCCATAAAACATGTCACTGACAAAACTCTGCGTATGATGTTTCTATAGAGCCCTTTATGAGCAATGTTATTCGTGCAAGAATCGCTTGAACGTCAAAAGTAATTTCATAAATCCACTACAAAAGTAATTTCATAAATCCATCATTCGATGGAGATTTTTTTGCACTTGCCCATAATGCTGTATGAGATTCTTAATTTTCGCTTTTATTTCTGATGGTCCCCGCTCGTAGCCATCCAGTGGCAGCAAAGCGTCAAGCTTGTTGTACGCGCCAGAGTTTCACTTTTGGCACCTCAAGTCTTCTAGTTGCTCCTGCTAGCGGTCAATTACTGGAACTGTCTCTTCATTTGACCACGAAGTGCGCGTACGTTTCCATGTAGTCGAAAGGCTGGGGACACTTGCAATCAGTTCGCTTCGAGATGCTGCAACTGCTCTGACGGTGCGAGAGTTGAACTAAGCGCTGTAGGCAATGGTCGTCTGCTTATTGTCTGCTTCTCCTGTAACTACATGCGGCCAATAACGAATCTTAAAATATGCGATACTACAAATATAGTTCCAATTTAAACAGTTTAGAATTTGCTGTTTTTATACATCATTTTCCAAATGCGCTCAAGTGCCGCCATCTTGAACTGATAGCATGGCAGTTTAGTATTCGTATATAATAAACAAACAGTGCTACAGTGAACTCACACGCACAAAATCGCTTTGCAGACACATTCGACGTTTTATGACCACGATCATTCTATATTGTGACATAGAAAATCTACAAAACAAACGCTTATCAGTGCAAGATGGCGGCCCCATGAGTCGAAAAAAATCGTGTATAAACATCTGGCTGTTTTAATGTGTTTTTATTGAGCTATACTCAGTTTTCTTGTTTATTGTGCTTTCAACAAGCTCGGCCACAGGGTGCAAACGACAGCGAAATCTCGATTGCTTGGCCAGATCGCGATGCTCGGATTGCGATAATCTTGATCCCGATCGCACCTAATCGTGATTAAAAGTGACTGTGTGGCAGCACGTAATCCGGATCATGGTTAATTCGGATAGACTCTGATCATGATTATAAATGCCCGTGTGACACCGGCATAAGGTATAGATAAAATACTCGAACTAAATCATATACTTGGCCAAACTCTTATCTTCCAACAGCACCACAAAGGATCCATATGACACGGATAAGATGTCCATGGACTTTGTGCAGCAGTTTCCAAAACAGGCTTTCACAGTCGGTCAAATGGTAAGGATGCTTTTTTGCTTGTGCCTATTTGGTTGAATCAAAGCATAAAGTCCTTAAACTTGGCAAAAAATGTCGCTACAATATAGTTAGGCCCCTCACCCCATATGCGCACGAGTGAGCTCAGTGTAACTCCTACTTGCACCAGTGAGTAGAAATATTAACTATTGGTACATTTGGCTGGGCACTGCTATGCTGTCACTCAAATTGCGGCCATGTGCAGTTGTTCTTGATCAGAGACAGAACAGAGAAAGCATGTCTGAGCCGAACGAGGCTGAACAATGTGCATCCACCCACAGAGGTTTACAGAGCATGGGCTCCACTGCAATTGCGAATTTCTGCTTTGTGAGAGCCTGTTGCTTCCAACCTAGCAGGTAGCTGTGTATGTCTCAGAACTACAGACTGGAACATATATTTGGAGGCTATATTCTCCGACAAAACCAGAATATATCTATCTCTGTAAACTTGGCATTCTACAAACTTTTGGGTGGCAAATACATGCCACATTAGCTCTCCAGCATGCTGGCCATGAGGTACATGTCACAGTTTTTCATTGCAAACAATGTAAGCGCACCGGTGCTCTCTGCATGCAGCCGTGGCTGATGTCATTTCAAAACGAAAGCTGGAGGACAAAGATCAGATCTCGATTTCACATGGAGGTCAGAGTTGCACCTCAGAGCTGGAGCTCGCTGCTTTGAAAAAACATAGCTGATCCCTCCACCATAGGGATCAGTATAACATTAAAATAAAACATGTTTTCACAGAGGTAGTTTGGCATTTATTGCGCGTTCATATATCATCTTGTACAATATCTATTGGGGTTTGGCAGCTATAGGACCGTTTGACGTGGATGTACCAACGTAGACACGTACAGTCAATTCCGGATATACCGAACCCTAGGGGTATCGTGAAAAAGTTTGTTATATTGATAATTATATATAAGAAATATGCTTATTTGAGGCTTACGGTAATAAGCGTTAACATGACTATTCGCTCACAGTATGCTTAAGAAAAGGACATAGTCTGCAGACTTGTCTTACCTTTTGTGTTCTGTCATGTTCAAGTCATTCTCATAAATCAAACATTGAAGCTATCAGAACAGGCGAATTCCGCCCCTTCAGCCACATCAGCATTGATTGACAGTGAGCACTGATGCAAGCTCTGCAGCGCAGTACAGTCGAATCTTGATAATTCGAACTCGAAGGGGCCCCAAAATTTGTTCGATTTAAAAGAGGTTCGAATTAATGAAAGCTAAATAAACCGAGGGCTCTCCATACAGTGGTACATGTGCATTGAGCTATCACACGACTTACATTTATTCACAAATCACAGGACATTCGTTATTAATTGAAGTAATCGGTGATGCGTGTCTGCACACGTTTGCCTTCCAGTGAGTCAACTAATTTCGCACGCAGCTTGCAAAGCATTTCTACTTCCGCTTCAGCATTCTCTTGGCGAGAGAAGTTGCGCGCGGAATTGTCCAGCGCCGACACTTTCTAAAGACGACGACTGCTTAGCGGAGCGTCCCACTTTCCGCTACGTAGCTGCAGCATGGCCAGCACGTGACGAGAAAGGAGGAGCGTCTCCACGCGGAGAGAAGCAAACCAGCATTTGAGAGAAAAGCAACACTCCATGGCATCTTTTTTTTTTTTTTCTCTCTTCGCTCGCGTCATTGAGAGAAGGGTTACGTGGCAGGGACGGGAAAGGGGAAGCGTGGCACCGGCGCGTGAGAGAACCCTCCTCAAGGCGCAGAGCCATGCTCCCGCAAGGGGCAAGGGCTGCAGAAGATAGTGCCTTTTTCTTTTCCTGCAGCAACACATTAATTCAACCCAGGGACAGCTTTCTATTTTATTTCCTCTCTCTCTCTTCACGCGCGGTGTTGGAAGGAGAAGGGTCTTTACGTGGCAGGGACGGAAAAGGGGGAAGCGTGACACGGGCACATCGCAGATCGCCATTTGAGAGAGAACAAACATTCCACTGCAGTCTTTTCTTTCTTTTTCATTTCCTTCGCGCGCAGTGTTTAGGTGTCGCAGGTGCCGCCGCGGGATTGAACGGGGTGCTGATAGCATTTTCAGAGTGCGGTATGTTCGAATTAATCGTCAAAAGTGCTTGCGCGTTTAAATTAACGGGCATTTTCGCCCATTGGAATATACATAGCTTTGACGGGGCGTCATCCTGAGTTCGAATAAACTGGAAGTTCGAATTAAGCGAGTTCGAATGAGTGACATTTGACTGTAAAGTGTTGCTTAGCAGCAGAATTCGCATCTTCACAACAATATGGGTCGGCTTCCGCGGACCCGGCATAGTCATCCATGATATTAGTATCGAGGCAGTCAGAAACAACGATGTCTTCATCTGTACCGATGAAGTGACTTTGTACTGTTGTTTGAGGTGGCGCCAAGCAAAGGCTAATAATATGTAGGAAAATTCACTGAGACACCGTACACCATTATCAGTCAAGATGATGCACAGTAAGTCGTCACCTGTCACCAAAGCCCATGAGGAAACTGTGCATGATGGTGCCTTGCTTAACGTCGTTCCAAGCACCAGTCATCATTTGTATCGCGACGAGTGGCGCAATGTTTAGTTCGGCTCCCGATGGAAGACTCGGGAGTAATGAAGTGAGAACTACGGAAGTGCTCTTGCCGAAAGTTGCAACGCTGTCCACAAACAATAAATGAAATGACCATATACCCCAGCATTGATATCTTGGCGATGACACATCGGGCTTTGTAGCAGTAAGCAAGAAGCAAAAAAAAGTGTAGCCTCCGAGAGATATTTCTTATAACCGAAAACTCCAAAATTGCGTCACAAGGTTGAGGGTCTTGAAGGTCATTCTTTTTGAGACCGCATGCCATCATACACGAGCAAACAAGGAAGGGAATGTGCACAACGTCACGAGGCTGCTGCTCTGTTGACTCACTTTACATTCATGTGATTTTAGTGCCTTCGCCGACTGGTCCCGTTGAAAACACTGTGTCCCTGTGTTACAACCTACAACAGGTCACTCATCACGTACTGGTGCGCTCTTAAACACTGCGCAACCAACGAATTGCACCGCCTTTTCGTCACCTGCACGCGAGGAGAGATCAAAATTTGTTGGAACGTAGCCAAAAAATACCGCATTTTTGTCAGAATAAATGCACTTTCTGGGCTTATTTCTGGTGCAGTGTTCGATATATTGGATGTTACGCTCTACAGCAGTTTGATATATGTGTGCAACAGTTCCATACTTTTGCATGGAAAATTCAAGGGGATTTATCAACTTTTCGATATAACGAACAATTCTATATATTGGCACTCAATATATCCAAGATTGACTGTATACTAGTACATCTCTTTTCCAACAACTAAGGCTCATGATCTGAATATAGGGTGGCATGAACATTGTGCAAAAATGGCATCAACAAGCACATAAAGTCACAGTTTTGCCACAAGGGCAAAGGAATGAATGGAATACAAAAAAATTGAACTGTCAAGCAGAAAATGGCAAGCAACCCAAAATTTGCGGTGTGCTGCAATGCTCCAAAAGAACGCACACGGGGCAAGTGGGAACTGTATAACAACTGCAACAGCGTGACACTTAAAGTGTCTGCTCAAGCACAAAGAAAGGCACTTGAAACGAGCACACAAGTGTACAATGGAACTTAATTTTACATCCCCCGGCATCATGAAGACCCGCATTTTACAACAAATGTGTTTGCTTCCGGCAAAATCTCCTTAGAAATAATGTATTAAAACCTTGGTTATACGACAGAGTTTTAAGCCGACCCTTACGATTTTCGATTCCATCCGAAAAAAAAAAAAACAACCTTTACTTGAATCAAACGTCAATCAAATATTCACGAGTGCAAAATATGAACTTGCGTTTCTCTAGATTGACAATTGGAAAGGTAGAATGTGAGACAGTATGTCTTCTTAAAATCAAAAGTTTATTCTCTTGGAATTTTATGCTTTTCTACATATGCCTCGATCACGTGGTACATATTCAGGGTCGTTACCTATTCAAGCTGTATGCAGAGTAGCTTCAGCCAGCTGGAAAGCTGATATTTTCAAGTTTTTAGACCGTGGAAACTTTCCCTGGTCAACACAGCTGATCTTATGCCTTTGTTGCAGTCACAGGCTTGCGCATGCATAAGGGCATGACGCAGCTGTTTTCACTGTGCAAAATTGCTTTCACCTAACGTCGAATTTTATAATAACAGCAGGACAGCACTAGTTGTGCCTCACAAGGCAACAAATTACAACGTGCACAGCTCAGTCGCGCACGAAGGTATTCTTCGCAAACTCATGGTCCGTCGCCATTATGTGATAGCGGTGATACTGTGTCTGACTCTTTTGAAGGAAGGCTGTTGGCAACATGGTTCCGGTCTTGTTTTCACGGGCAGGCAACTTTTGAAGTCTGTTTCAGTAGAAGGATGCGTGTTGGATTCAATTTTTTTTAAGGTTGAGAATAAAGATTCGCTCGCACCTCCTAGTACATAGTGCTGTTATTGCAGTTAAGAACGGCGCAAAAACAGCCGTTTTTTTTTTTGTTTTTGTCTCTCGTGTTCTTGTGCCGTTCTTAACTATGAACTCACACCAACTCGCCCAGCTGTCAGTGCTACTGATCGCTGCCATTAGCTGCCACTGTCAAAAATAATTTAATGTACCTTCCTTGCAGAGGCACAAGGTTATGCCATGGGCTTACTCAGGCTGTCTGCACCCGTTCATTGGGCAAGGCTGAGTGTCACTGCGTATAATTTTAGTTTTTTGACTACACGACGCCCGGATTATGCGACAGTTTTGCGTGGTCCCCTGAACGTTGTATAATCAGAGTACCACTGTATACTCAGGACAAGGGTGAGCTAAAAAATGTCACAGTTGTTGCTTCATGTTTGAGCAGCGTTCTCCTTTCGCAAACACGGCTACTGCAGTGAGCAAAGCGGCCTTCGTGCACCCTGTAACTTGACCTGCGAACTTTGCGGTGAAAGCGCAAGATGTACAAATCACCTTCATCACGA